AACCGTCTCTATTGAATCGACTCATGACTTTTCCCCAGAGCAGCGGATCGGAATAATCGGAGATTCCGGATCCGCGGGCCGAGGTGCATCACCGTATCACTCCGGCCACGTCACATCGCCACGTCACATCGCCTCTCTTTACAACTCGCTGTCAACTCGCTGTCTTTTACTGTTCTCGACGTGCACCACTTCGCAATGCTGCGGTTGCTGCGCATCCCCAGGATCCTAGGAGCAAACACCATAGGAACAAATTTACAACTGCGACCCACTGAGTGTCATCCGTGTGTTGTAAGCGTCCTTTGACCACTTCTTTCTTCTTCATTTCTCCTCAGAAGCTCGCCTCTGGAGCCGACAATAGTGTAACTCACATCCCCAACTATACGAGGCAAGGATTGGAACCTTTGTACCATCAATATTCGTCCAGACCTCGGTAGCGCAGGTACGTCGGCGTTCCCATCGCACACTAGAGAAATTTATTCTTGTCAAGGTATAGTTACCTGTCGGTCTCATCCGTGGCATGTCCGATAGCAAAATGAGGACAACTGACGGAGAGAATCGAATGTTTCTTTTCCCAAGGCGCCCAATGTGATTTGCAGTCGTCGAGGCGCTACATAACCCACACCTGTGGAACGACGAGCAACAATGATGCCCACTCCCGGCTTAGGACGCTCGCCCAGAGCATGCTCGAACTACAGGTACGCAAGTGCCCGCTTTCCCCATTCAACTACTCAGTCGCGTATCAGACACCGGAAAATGGCAAGTCAACGACGGTCCAGCCCGCCCGTGATGCTCATGAAAGATAGATAGAAATGCAACGGTGCACGCTCTGGGTGCAACCAATGCCGGTTGCGGCCTCCGCGGTCCGGCGCTCCCTGCGTGTTCGATCGTGACACTCGCCATGCCGAGCCGAATGCGGCGCAGATGCAGAAAACGATTATGTTGTTGAAGGCCCGGGTTCGCGAACTCGAACAAGCTCTTGGTTCCCCCGCCATAGTTCAGACCGCTAATAGTGATACTATGGCTGAGGAATGCATGATGAGGAACGGGGAATTTGTGAGAGTTGTTCAAGGTGTTAGGTTCCAGCCCTTGATCACTTGTGCGCACCAGGCGTTGATTGTTCTGTACCTTCATAGTAGGTCTTTATACCATGGTATGCATTTCTGGTGGTAACACAACTGCAAAGTTCCGTGGATATATGACTACACGCGTTTCCACGCCCTCTCGGATGTCCGTTGATTCGAAGATAAAACGAACGATGATGAGATGTCCGAAAGGCTCTTTTCACCGGTTCGTACTCACACAGCTCGACGGTTGCTATGGTATATTTCTCCCATACGCCGTCAATACGCCGTCCGACGACGGGGTCCGTGTCAGCGGACAAACCATTCGGCACGCAGAATCACCCGCGAAATAGGACCCAAAATTGCCGAAAGCACCCCATGGTTTAAGGGCGCCGCCATGGTGTCTGCAAAGTATATTGTCAATCGTGGTTCACTGTCCAGGTGCTCAGGCTCTTGCCACGGGACACCGACACCCAAACCGCCATCGAAAATGTCACGGATCTATTGCTAATGATCAGCAGTCGATGGTGACAACGTTGTTCCACGTCAGATGTGTGTAGCCTTGATTCCCAACGATTCTCTGTCTTTCGACAACGACATGCCTACCGACTCGGAAGCTGCACCCTCCACGGCTAACCACCAGGACTTGAACCAATTTCTTTCAAACGGAGCTCACGTATTGTGCAGTCAGGAAGAATGGTTATGGGATGGAGGTGATAACAATCGACTCATATTTTATACGGACGGCACCGGCGAGGTGAGTGAGAAATGCTGTCTGGATACATATTGATATTCAGCAACTATCCAGATGATATCCCGTGCTGAAGCCATTGTTAAAATCGTGGCAGGAATACAGTGGAAATTACTGCCAAGTGCAGGTAGAGTGCCGATACCTGCACGGGAAACCACTGTCATTCCCCCTGATCATATGCACTGGAGGGACGTATGGCGTCAACCGCTAACTCGGAAACAACCCACAACATTATTTGCGGGGATCGTGGAACTCACCATCACTAAACGCAGGCCGCTGCTGTATGGGTCCGTGGTGCATAATCAAATTAACGAGGAGGTGCTTCTCGACGGCGCATTCGAGACCCGGCGGGTCGACATCGTCATTGAGAACGGGGAGCTCGGCCTCGCTTGCCATTATGGCGCACGCGGCGGATTCGGGCCAATATATGGGTTCCGCCTGACTTTCAGCACTTCACCTTATCCCCCGATTGAACTGTGGAGGCCAGAGGAGTACAGAACAGCGGAGATGATGAGACATCCCCAGATGAAACAGTTCTGTGCGGAGAAGTTGGTGGATGCGCAGCAGTCGAATACATGTAGCATTATGTGAACCTTTCCTGCGTATAAGTAATTTTTTTGGGATCGGGTGGTTGTTCGGAAGGTTAGTGGTGTACACTGTAGAGTATTTCTCTTTACCCTTTCCATCCTCAATGAATCTCCGCCCCCGGCGTGCGCGTTTCCCGTATGAGCGCGTGGAGCCGCGCCGAAACCTGCGGAAAATGCCTGAGCTGCGCATCCGTCGTCCCGCGCGGAATCTCCTGCGCGAGGCGCACCAGCCCCCGCCACTGCGTCGCGCCGCGCGTGCGAAGCGGAATGACGCGCCACCGCCTCCGCGAACCCTCCCCGACACCCAGCAGATGCAGGCGCATCCTCCCCCCGCTTGCATTCGCGCGCGATAGCACGTCCTCCCAGAGCGGGCCGAGGAGTGCGCGCGCGGCGGCGCTGTTGGTCGCCGCACCGCACGTGATCCCGAACGTGCCCCGACCCTCGACGTAGTCGAATGCGGTGTGGAATGGCGCGCCCGGGTGCTGGGCCATGAACGCGAGCTCGCAGAGGAGCACGTCGTGGATGCGGGTTTCGTATTCCTTGTGCAGTAAGGCGCGGAGGAAGGAGCGGTCCCGCGCGTTTGTGGGATCCGGATTCACTTCGGCGCGGAGTCAGGATGTGTAGGGAGATTTGGAACAAAAATCAAACAAGGGCGGACTTACTGAGGCCGTGGGATCGTATCTTTGCGCATAGTTTTCTATGGCCTCTGCGCCAGTCAAGCCTTTGACACTCGACGGAGCAATAACATGCGTTCTGGCAAACAGAACAAGACCTGAAATCGGCCTTGCTGGAGATTTTACCGCACTGTGTAAGGATGAATGAGAATTGGGCGTGAGGACGCTATTTGACGTGAATCTATTGCACACCTCAGTATTGTCGCAGGCCCGCATTGCCGTGTACTCAGGAGAGTCGTAATATTTCAGCAGTGGGAGTTGTCCCAGCAGGACTTTGTTAATTTCGTCCCAGGCTTTCCAGAGGGGGGAGTTTGGAGATCCGCGAGATGCAGAGTTATCGAGGAGTAGAGTGACACCCGCCAAAGACACCCCTACCTGCAAAAGCACCGAGCGGTAGATGAGATGCCGTGAGAGATTCGCTGTTATGGATTCTTTCCAGCGGGCCTCGCTTATCAATTTGGGATTCAGCAAGCATGTTGCGAAGAGTGCGAGGAACCCCGCATCGAGCGCCTCAATGAGCCATACGTGTCCGGGCGGCGTGAGCATCTTTATTGTGAGCATTCGGAACGCTGGATCGAGCGCCTGGTCGGCCATGGGTCCGTCGGCGGTGCTAAGCTGGCGTATTACTGTTACAAGCGCGCGCACGATCCCATGCGACAGGAGTGCGACCAGAAATTCTTTACGCAGGAGCTCCGTCTGGTCAATGAACGCGAGAGCATTGTCGAGGAAGAATATGGATTTTTTGCGGTGGTCGGACGCCAGATAAGTGACAAACTTGACCACGAGCGATGCCAGATCTGCCATAGTGCCGCCACTGCCCTCGATGAGGTCCTCGTGGTGTCTCATATTTGAGACATCCATGCCCCATCGGAGAAAATGGCAGATCGTCTCGAATCCAGATGTGCGGATTCCCGGTGCCCATTCGTCCGGCCGCGCGAGAAGTGCCCAAACCCGCGCAACTAGAACTCGGATGCCCGGAGCCTCGTTGATGATTTTAGCCGTCTCACGATCGCTATGGAGGATTCTGAACACTTGTAAAATCGTAATATGCACCTCGCTGGGACGATAGCCTTCAAAGGTTGGCAGGCAATAATCGTGCTTCATGATGAGTTGAGACCAACTCCACAGGCCAGGCCAAAGATCCGGATATGACTCTGGAGGCATATCCTTGATGACGGAGAGACCCTGCACCGCTACAAAGGCCATTATGACGCATTTCGCCTCGACAGACGACAGAATCTCTTGATGCTCCAGAAGGTGGGTTTTTGCCGGGTCGAGATTCGCGTAGAAGGCGGGGAGCAAGAGCCGGGATGTGGATGCAGGTTTGTCTTTAGCTATTCCCACAAGAGTCATGAGATCGTCAAAGGAACCATTCGCTGCCGCGGAGGCGTATTTCTTGTACACCCTGTCAGAAAAAAACGCGATTGGAATCGATGGGAAACGTACCCGATAAGAGGGAGGAAGTAGTCGTAGACGATCTAGATCCAAAGCAGGGTGCATGGTCAACGCGATCTCCTCTGAATCCGTCAATGAGTTGGCGAAGGACAAGGATCTTCGTCCCCGTGATACACCGCTGGCAGTCACATACCATCAAGGAAGCCACCTCGCCGACAGCTGCCGACGTTAGTTTACAACAAGCGAGGTACGAGCGATTCAATTGTTGTAGCGTCTGTTGATAAGAGAATAACGTTAGTTTTGACCTCATTTCCGTTCCTCTCAACGCATTCTTCGGAAATTCAACTCTGTATAAATTTCTGCGAAGGACAAGCATTTTCTGGGAGAGGAACGCTGAAAAGTCATACATATTCTTCATCGGCCACCAGAACTATACTGTGTGCTGAAGGGCTCAGACGTCACTAGCAGCCTGCAAAAACTTCCCAATCCAAAAGGTATATACCGCAAAGTGTATGTAGGGTAGCACAAAATATAGCATCACCGTGGATTGAACACGGGACCTCCAGATATACCATGTTCCATCTCAGTTACTTCAGTCTGTTGCTCTCCCAGCTGAGCTATGACGCTTTACTCAACACAACACTGTGTATCACTGGCCCCACCAGACTCTTTCACTTTCCGCCTCAGACGTCAAACTGAACAAGGCAATTTGATCGCGGCAAATGGACGGCAAAGTTGATGGCAATCAAGCTACCACCACCAAGCTACAGTACCGCTAAAGCCGGCTCAGTGTAAGATCAGAAGTGCGAAAAGTAAAAGCGAGCATATGTAGTAGGTGACACGGTACATTTACAGTATATTTTCTACATGATACCTAACTGACTCTAGCGACCAACTCTATGTACCCCCCACCATAATCAGTCAGGCGCGGTCGCAGCGCGTGCGCTCTCGGGTGCTGTGTGAGCCCCTAGCTGACACGCGCGCGCGCCTCCTGCAAGAGCAGTGTGAGCGCGCGGGCGCTAAGCGACCAGCGCTGCGCGCGAGATCTAGAGTATATGAATCCCGCTCGAGATGGGCGAGGCTCCAAATCGGAATCGGCATAGCGGCCTTGTCCAGTGACCTTACATTATTGCTTGCAGTCCAATAGCATTAGGGGTATTGAATGTTTGGACGAAGTATAATACACTGGCCATGGGTTGTATCAATCTGGATTCCCAAACCAATAAGTTATGAAAGAAGGACTTCCACATGACCTTCCACAGCTTTCCCTGGCGTTGAGTTTACCGAATAGTATTATTAGAACTTTAGAATGTGGTAATTTGGAGAAGCACTGGCAGAGGCACACGGACCCACATTGAACGTGTTGGATTTGGGCACGCTTCTTTCTCTCCTCTTCATGAGAACACCGTTTCCCCGCCGCAACCGATTTTCCGACAGCTCAGGCTGTGCAAGTGGACAACCCTGATCTGCGCGCTCATCACCAGTATCCGGCTCAAAAGACACTAACGACGCCCCGCGGAGGCCTAATATGTACCAGTCAGAACATCCCGCGCCGTTCTCCAACTGAACAAAGTACCGATTTCCTCTAGTCCTGCTCGACTCACCTCCGATTCGGTTGGATATCCACGTCTTCAATCAGCTTGGGTCCAATCGAACTGGATATCCAGCCTCCTCCCCAGAAATTACAAAAATCGTTCTCACCTGGCCCCCGGAGTCACGCACCCATGTGGTTTGACTTTCTCTTCATTGAGGTGTATCGAGTTGAATCTTAGGTCCTACTCGCTCCAGCGAAAGAGGGATGAAAGGGGAATCGCGCGGCTGCCGCTTTGTATGCAATAATGCTTACGAGCACGCTGCGGCGGCCGATGTGTTTCCTCAGGAGCTCCGAATTTTCGACTGCCTAAATGACTTGGATTGGGCCTCTCCGAGGCGGTAGCTGAACCTTTAGGAATTATATCTTGATCATTTTTTAAATTTTGTTGAACCTCGTCTGCTAAGCCAGTAAGCTGCTGCCATTTCCGGCCTACTCAAGTGTCCAGGGAATGATAAACATAGGACTCAATATTCGAAAGATGCACCTGCCTGAATGTATGAACCATTGATAACAGAGGTAGGGCCGAATGTTTCAATTTGTGGATGCCGAGGTATACTACAAAGTTCTCTGACAGCATTCAATATGGAGAAGGGAAATAGATATCAAGCTCATCAACAGAGTTCATTTTGATATAGTTCGCAATCTTGAAGATACTATAGAACACCCTATTGAGCTCTCAATCACGGATTTAGTGAAAACTCACAAAAAATACGGGCTGTGCCGTATGTTCCACAAGAAGCTGTAATGTATAGCAGTGGTGTTCTGGAAGCTGTAAGCTCTGCACTTTTTCTCCAAGAAATATTCAAGAAGGTCCTTGAACCATGACTTCAGTCAATACTGGCGTATGTAGTATCCCCCATTTTTTATGCTGACCAGGTCCACTTCAGGCCACCTATATGACCTACCCCTAGGGATAGATTATTTGGTTTGAAAGACTATCCCTAGGGGCATCCGATTTAGTAGGGAGCCCCAGTTGGGATGGGACGTCCCAGGTATCCTGGGGGATGTAGGGTGGGATGTCCCAGAGGTTCTCTGGATGTACCTGGGACATCCCGCCCGCCGCAGGCGGGACCAAAAATTTGCCTGGGGCTTCCCTAGCTCCCAGGTGGACCCCTGGCACCGCTCCCCTAAAAAAGCGGCTTTTGGGGTGGTACAGGTTGCACGCGGGGTTACTGCTGGGCATACATATAACCCCAGCTCAGGCCTTCTTGTGTAGGTATGCTGGCGTGCATAGCGCGGCCGGAAAAAAATCATATTTGACCCCCCAGAAAAGCTCCATTCGGCTGCTTTTGGGGCCATACGGCCAGCACACGGGGTTGCTGCTGGGCATACATCTAGCCTCAGCTCAGGCCTTCTTGTGTGGGTATGCTGCCCTGTGTAGCACGGCCGGAAAAAATAATAATATTTGGAAACAAGAAAAGCTGCTTTTGAGGCCATACGGGTGGCACACAGATTTGCTGTTAGGTATGTGTGTGTGTGTGTCACCCAGAAACGGACCCACCTGTATAGCGATGCTACTGCACGCAGCGCGGCTGAACAAAAATGCATATTTTGTGTTAGAAAAGTGTAATTCATCAGCTTATGCGGCCCATACCTTTATATATAGCAGTACTCATAGGGGGAGCTATGCACTTGTATGCACCGTACATAGCATGACCAGTTTAAAAAAGGCATTTTTAGTGCTAAAAACCATGTCAGATCAGACAAAACTCAGCCTCAAACTCAAAGCAGGTGCTGAGTGCTCATCATGTGGGCTGCCTGTAATTCTGGACATGATAGCATGACCAAAAACCAATCGGTCTTTACTGAACTTACCCACTGCAGAACACAAAGAAGAGAAACTGAAATGCAATTTTTGATTTACCAAAGGTGAACACATTGCATTCTAACTTAACCATTTAAAATTTGATAGATGCTGGGACATCCCACTCCAGGCCTGGGACATCCCATTCCGTGCTGGGACATCCCACTCTTACAATATATTCCTTGGGATGTCCGAGAACTCCAGAAAGCCTGCCTGGGACATCCCATTTCAACACATAGACAACCTGGGACATCCCTATCTCACCTGGGACCTCCCAGAAAAACCGTATTTTGCATGGGACATCCCGCTCAACTGGTTTTCTGACCTGGGACATCCCAGTAGCATCAAATTCCTCCCTGGGATGTCCCATAAGCCCTTTACAATGCTTGGGATGTCCCATCCCACCTCATACTTACTAGGGATGTCCCATTCTACCTCATAATCACCAGAAATGTCCCAATGCATTACTCCTGCTTCAAATTTACTTGACATATTCATCACATTGTAGTTGGTAAAACAGAAGGACTTACCATCCTATTTATTTTATTTTTCCTTTCATACTGACCTTCATTCACAGCTTCAAATGAAAATTACCATACTCGGACCATAGCGGTTGTTGTTTCGTGTTTGTTCTTCTCTATCACTTTACCATTACTATTACTGAGTATACTCCTTGTAGTTGGAATAACACTGGTGATTACCATAATATATTATCTTCTTCTTCCTTTGATACCTGCCCTTCACTTCTGTTTTCCAATGAAAATTGCCATATCCGGACCGTAGCAGTTGTTGTCTCTTGTTTGTTTTGGATCTGCTTGGGGGGTTTTTTGGTGAGATCTCAAGTCTGTACACCTAAACATAAAATGTGTTGATTGGGAAACATGGGAATCATATTTTACACCCAATATTAGGGCATTATGGGCTGCTGCTTTTTGCACAAAAGCTGAGAATTGATGGCATTCTGGCCATTGCCTTAAAATTGATGGCTGGCTGTATTGGGGTACAAATTGATGAGCCTGGCCATTCCTGTGAATTTGATGGCCATTGCCTTAAAATTGATGGCTGCCCGTATTGGGATGCATTGGTTGCTTTAAAAGCCCCTATTTGGTCAAAAAGTGTCAGCTCTCGGAAAGTATTTTGTATTTTGCGGGCCCATGGGGCCACCAATTGAAAAATGGTACAGATGACTCTTGTAGCCCTTGATGAGCTCTACAATTTGAATATAGTGATCAATGGTTTGGGCGATGTTTTCCCTTTTGGGACACTAACGCTTTCTGCCCAAAAGGGAAATTTTTACCCTCAGGCCTTCCCTGGCGCAGATTTCAACCGTTTTCGATGATCTAACCACATAGGGCTGTTCTTTTAGATTCTGTGAGGTCATCTGGGATGCAGAGAGCCTATTACAGGGCAATAAATGGGTAGATATAGCGAAAATTGAGAAATTAGGTCCTGGCCTTATTATCTGTGGTATATACCAATGGAAATGACTGGGGAATACATTGAAATGTTCTATCCTGCTACCCAGACACCCTCCATGGGACATATCATCATCTGGCCATGAAGAACATCACAAATTGGACATTTAGGGAAATTGCACTCCCCATGATGCGATAAATCGCAAAACACAACTGTTGGAATTGGATCAGCCTTTTATATAAGGAAAGTAGACAATTTCCACCTATGGTAGCCCATACCTCATGATTTGAAGTGATCTTGTTTGACATTCCTGTTCACCCTATTCAGCATGCCACAGGGTCATATATAGTGTTCTAAAGGCCCCACATGTCTCTAATACGCTATCTGTACATTCCTGATTCAAAATATTGGCCAATATACTATGCTAAATCTACAAACTGTCAAATGTCACCTTTGGCTTATTTCACTGATAGGGCACCAAGGAGACCAGATATCTCAAAATAAACATCAGAAATGAAATCAGACAGTGTAAATACCCCTGATTGAATTTTATTTGAAGTGTTTTGGTGGAGATTTGGCTGAATGGTGTTTCCGAGGATGTAGGTTGAAGTGTAACATTCATACCATTGCATCCAGTTCTGGGTTTTCAGAACTCAGCAACCACTTGACCAAATCATGCAAACCTATATATTTTCGGAATCCTCTGAGCTACCAGATTCCATTAATGTACATTTGGGAGCTCTTAGAGGATTTCCTGAGCCACAATATGGAAAATAGTCGAAAGGTGGTTTCTCACCTTATACCATGTTGAGT